CTAACTATCCAAGATTTTGACCTAGAAATAGAGTACCGGCCAGGCGAACGTATGAAGCATGTTGATGTCCTGAGTAGGAACCCATCCTCGAATTTTGTTCTCATGATAGATAACGATGATTGGTTAAAAACACTGCAAATGCAAGATGAAGGTATTCAAAATATTCTCGCACAATTCCGCGAACAAAGCATTAATCCAGACTTAATAGCTAACTATGTAGTTAAAGATAACCTGCTATTTAGAAAAACTATTGGTGGAGAGAGATTTGTTATTCCTAAATTGGCCAAATATGGGTTGTTGCAAAAACTTCACGATCAGATAGGGCATCCGGGTTTCGAAAAATGCGAGAAGACCATCAAAGCACAATTTTGGTTTACGGGCATGACACGGTTCATACGTAAGTACATCAACGCTTGCTTACAATGCGCCTTCGGTAAGGGCAACCATGGCAAACTAGAGGGTGAACTACACCCGATAGACAAAGCAGCTTGTCCCATGCATACCATACACGCAGATCATCTGGGTCCTTTCATAAAAACTCGTAAAGGTAATACTTATATTCTTGTCGTTATTGATGCATTTAACAAGTTTGTTTTCGCAAGGGCAGCTAAGAACTGCAGCTCCATAGAGACCATAAGGCTGCTGAAAGACATACTGTCCCAATTCGGTAATCCAAAAAGAATTATTACAGACAGAGGCAAGGCATTTACTAGCCGCTATTTTAAACTTTTCTCCATTGAGTTACAATTTAAACACATTTTAAATGCTATAGCATGCCCTCGTTCCAATGGTCAAGTGGAGCGTGTAAACCGTACTTTACTAAATGGCTTAAATACAATTTCTGACAGTGAATGTACATGGGATAACAAATTGTCAGATGTAGTCTGGGGAATTAATAATACCCCTAATTCTACTACGGGACATACACCTTTTAGTTTAATGTTTGGCCACGACAATTCACGTTTCCCATGTTTTCCTAAAGAATTTCCCCAAGATTATGATTCTCAACAACAAAACTTACAAACTAGAAGAAAAGATGCTAAATTTCGTATTGACAGGAATATGACCTTAATGAAAAGTAGATTTGATCGTAAGCACAAAAAATGCCGAAAGTATAAAATAGGAGATTTGGTTTTATGGAAAGGGGGTGTGTCTAGAGATACAACTGCTAAAGTCACCAAAAAGCTTAATAGTTCATACACAGGTCCATATAAAGTGTGTAGGGCCGAGCAATCACTCGATCGTTATAAAATAAGTAGTATTATGGGTATGAAAGGTTATAGAAGGTTCAGTGCCGTAGTCAGCGGTGAGAGTCTACGACCATATAAATCAACACTATCAGATGATGACAGTTCATCTAGCGACCGTGAAGTAGACAGGGATGATCTGATAGACCTCTTAGAAAGTTAAGCATGTCTACTGCCTTTGTTGGAAATGCGTGTATCTAATTAATTTCTAGAATAATATTAAAAGAAACCATTTATTATTTCTTAATTATTTTTGCCTTATTATTTAAAATTGAGTTGTTATAAATTGTTTTGTTATAAAGTTGTCAACTAAAATATTGTTTTAAATAAAACATATTGTTTAAGTCTGTTGGTTTAATTTGATATAATAACTCTAAATAAATATTTACAAAGCAGCTAAAGTACAGATATAGCTAAGTCTAACAATAATTAAAATAATAGGACAGCTATGTGAACAAGTCCATAATAGTTAAAAGTGTGGGACAGCTATGTGAACAAGTCCATAACAATTAAAAGAGGGACAGCTAGGTGAACAAGTCTATAATAGTTAAGTAAGGGACAGCTATGTGAACAAGTCCATAACAATTAAAACAAGGGATAGCTAAGTGAACAAATCCATAATAGTTAAAAGTGAGGGACAGCTATGTGAACAAGTCCATAACAATTAAAATAAGGGATAGCTAAGTGAACAAGTCCATAATAGTTAAAACAAGGGGACAGCTAAGTGACCAAGTCCATAATAGAGTTTTAGGTCCCGGACAGCTAAGTGACCAAGTCCATAATAGGTATAATACAAGGACAGCTAAATTAATAAATCCAGAATTGTTGAAACACTAGGATGGCTAAGTTAACCAGCCCCAGATGGCCAATGTACAAGAACTATTAGGTAAACAACTAGGTATATTAATAGTATAAACCTTTATTAATGACTTGTAATAAAACAAAATAAATCTCATCTACATGATTTCTTTTTGGAAATGGTACAATTTACTGCTCAATTTTCTTTTCTCCTTTCAGAGGCAAAATGGTGAATATAATGAGCGCCGCGGGACGCGTACGACTCAGGATGGCCGAATGTTACGAGTGGATTTGAAATCATCGACACCTATTTAATAAATTATTAAACATAAATGATTATTAAATATAGATATGTTTCAGATTTAATAAATTATAAAACCATAGAGTAACATAGGTAAAAATAATAAGATTAGTGGGTAGTTGTAACCAGCGCTGTACACTATAAATTAAATTGCCAGAGGTATCTTAGTTCAGTTCAGTTCACTTCAGTCGTGTGCAAGCAAGTCGCTCTGCTAGTAGTTGTTATCATCTACATTAAGTATAATATAATTATTGTGATTTATAAGGTGAATAAAAAGATTCGTTTATAAGGTGAATAAAAAGTGCTACAAGGTAATCTGTTTTACTTCATAGTTACTTATTTAAAACTCCTCTTACTGGACAATATGGGGTTGTTGATATTCTTACACCGCATTTAACGGAGATGAAAATCTCACCATATCTCATTTAATTGAGGAAGGGAGAGGAGGATTAATGAACTCTAATCTCAATGTACTAGAGGTAGTAGCGTTGAGCGAAATTCGCGTGTAACAAGTTATATGATATAACATGCTGTTCTTATTATATAGAATAAGAGTGACAAACGAGCACACAGTCCACCTGATAAGTGGATGTGTGTAAGTGGATGTAAGTTGATGGCGTGGCCCATAGACATCTCCATCTATTGTAGATTAAGGCCGATTCCACCAAAGCGGAGACGAGATGAGAGGAGAAGAGATGTGTATTAAACAAGCAATAGAATTTCGTTATTCACATATCTCGTCTTCACTCTGCTGCAGTGGAATACCACTGAGTGGATACATCATATTTGTATGGCGCGACCAAAATGGAGATGTGAGCTATTCCTCGTCGAGATTGAGTTAGGCGGCGGTACAAAGCAGAGATATGAGCTGTGTCTCGCTAGCTGGCGACAGTGCGCACAGAGAAGAGACGCGAGCGGCGTGCATTTTTTGTGTATTGACATAACTGAAACGTCTTTTGCTAAACTAAGCGTTATCTCAACATCCAACGTTCGCCGCACGCAGCTCAGTTCCGCTCTAGCCAGTACACATCTCCGCTCGGTAAAAACATCTCTTCTTGTATCCACTTCGTAAATCTCCGCACATCTCCGCTTCGGTGGAGTCTGGGCCTAAAAATCAAAATGCAGATGCGTTGTCACCCCTGGGGACTAAGATAGATTGCCTCGTTTCCAGTAAAAAGGGTCCAAATACCAATGTGCTTTGGTTGCCCAAAATGTCACAAAATTTTAGTCATTAGTATTTTTCTTTGAGAAATAGTTGTCAAGCGCGTTCGCTGCATTAATCGGCGCGAACGTGACCGTTTCTTTTCTTCAAAATTAAAGGGACTGCCCGCTACACGCGGCACAATCGACAGATCCGAGCAACGGGCCGCACAACAGCTACCCGACGTAAGATCCCGCGCGCGTCGTTGTTACATAAATTTAAATGAGCGCCACTGCGTTATGCAACGTTTAGATACCACCCTGAGCACAGGTGTAGGAACATGTAAACGCCTTGTTCGGGTGTTCTCTCTAATCAACCCGAGTATTCGCCTGTTCTACACTTGATGTCGGTTTTTTAGGACGAGTCAAAGGAATGCTCGTGAGTATTCATATAGGTGTTTATATACTCATCATTATTTGCTTGACCTGTGAACTTTGACTCAGGTGGTTATTAGTTTTTCTTATAAAATAATTTAAAAAGATAATAATAAAAAAAATACCTATCTACTATGATGGATGGAATTATCTGCCCAATGATGATAAACCATATTACAATTGTGAATAACATACAAGATTTCAGATTGCATTTTAATAATATAAGCATATTATTAAAATGCAGTCTGAAATCTTGTATGTTAGACATAATAAAATTTTAAAAATAACATAATATGCTATTATAAGAAGTAATACGGATAGTTATTTGTTTTATCCGGTTATAAAACTAAAAATATCTGGATTTTATAATCAATGGATATCCTAATAATTTGGAAATCAGAATATGCTGATAGCATGCTCTAATAAAACTAGAAAGATTAACAAAGTAATCGAAAATTAACAAGGAACTTATAATTTACATTACTATGTCAAAGTAGTGGAAGAAATGAAAAAAAAACAATGAGCTAAACTTTATGATTTCTTATATTTACGCGAAGACTCCATATTAAATGAAATAGATCGGACCAAAAATTAATATTCAAAAACTGAAGGTAGCCGAGCTAACTATGACATTGGGACGTCAAACACCTCAGAACTCCAAGCACCCGAAACGTCGGAAATTAAAAAGTTAAATGAAACACGATAAAATCTTTAAAAATTAGTTTCATTTAAAATGAGCTAAACTCCTGAATTTAATCATCCATACATCTATTACAGCCTATAGAAGCCCACTGCTCTATATATAAATATATACGCATCTACTCATAGATCGCCTCATAGAGAGGATTCTGTCAAAGTTGCCACTTTTGGCAAATAGGTTGGTAACTGCCATTTTTAATTATTTTGAGTCACATACTCTGCTGCCAATCTCCTGTTACTTATTGTTAAAGCTATGTTTTAACAATAAGTAACAGGAGATTCATTTGATTCATTTTAAAATATCCTTACACAACTATACAAGCAAGATGTGTAAGTAAAAAAATCTTAGGTAATATGAGACTAGATTGTTTAATATTTACCAATAATCATAAATGGTGAATCTTTAGATTTTCTGGCCAGTTTGTCCGCTTGAGATTCATCGCGGTAATCAAATATTGGTTGTGAGTTAGCCATGATTAAATGATACAATCTGAAATATTAAGAGATAAAAATTTGAAATGATATTTAATGATAACATTCTGAAATAGTTACAATTCAACATTTTAAAATGATTAAGAACGTTTAAAAATATGGAAATCTTGTAATTTGTTACAAAAACTATTATTAATAGCATACCAATATTGAAAAAACTACTAGTATTATTAGTAAAATTCGATAAAGAAAGTGTAATTACCTTACTATTTATAATGAAAGAGGATATTTAATTATATAATATTTAACAAAAATTGTCACATATTGCATCACACAACAATCAACCTTGAACGCCTTGCCTTGAAATTGGAAAAATCCCCAATTATGTCAACTCAAAACAAATGTCAGTTAGACATTGATATGCAGTCTTAATAGTAAGAATAAGCAAAAGTATAAGAGCATACAGTCTTTCAGTAAAATAAAAAAATAATTCCGAATATATCTACCAAAAATTTAATTTAATATAGGGGAGATATTTAAAAACGAAAATTGCAAATGTCCAGTCCATAACACACGCTAAAGTTACCTTTATTTTCTTCCTCGTTCACGTAAAAAGACTTAAGCTTGGCCTAGAACGCGCCAACTGAATACAAACATTCCTTGTGAAGTATGTTCATAACTCATTTACCCTTTCCATTAATTCTGTATAATTTGAAAAAATTTCTGCCAGCAGTTAATTGCCAGAACTTAATCCGTCACTCCATAGATTGCACCGCGTGCAGATGTAGTTGACTTTTGAAAAAAAAGTTTGATTCTTGCACGCAAGTGGGTTTTAAGGAGGATTAATTAACAAGATATAAATACTTAATTAGTTAATTTAGTAATTGAGATAACATTATAATTTATTTTCAGAAACATCAACAAACATTGGTAACTTTTAAGTCAAATCAGTACCCATCTTCTCGCAGAGTGAATGATGAATGATAATGACTTGAAAGCAAAATTGAAGACGAGTAGGCTGGTGAAAGCGTACAACCAGATACCAGTTAACCCAGATGATATTCCGAAGACAGCCATCACCACACCATTTGGTATGTTCGAATTTCCATACATGAGTTATGGCTTAAAAAATGCGAGCCAAACCTTTCAAAGGTTTGTAGACGAGATAACACGAGGACTTGATTTTTGCTTCGTGTACCTGGATGATTTTCTAATATTTTCCCAGGACGAAGACAGCCATCTTGATCACCTTCGCCAAATCTTTGAAAAACTTAAGGAATTTGGTATGGTCATCAACACGAGCAAATGTGAATTTGGTAAGAAAGAAATCACCTTTCTAGGGTATCACGTCTCAGCCAACGGTGTTAACCCTTTAGACAGTAAGGTTCAAGCCATCAAAGACTTCCCCACTCCGAAAACCGTACGAGAACTTCGGCGTTTTCTAGGGATGCTAAACTTTTATCGCCGATTTATCAAAAGAGCTGCTGAAATTCAGGCACCATTAAACTCTTTGCTGACGGGGTCCGTAAAAGGATCACGTTCCGTGGATATATCGGGAGAAGCCCTACATGCTTTTGAGCAGTGCAAAACTAGCCTCTGTCAAGCAGCATTCTTGGCACATCCAGATCTAAACGCAAGATTAGGTTTGGTAACCGACGCCTCAGATAAGGCAATCGGTGCCGCCTTGCAGCAAGTAAAGAATGGATCATGGTAGCCACTTGCATTCTTCTCTAAGAAACTGAAACCAGCCCAACAGAAATACTCGCCATACGACAGGGAGCTTCTTGCTATATACGAGTCAGTGAAATACTTTAGACACATGCTTGAAGCAAGACATTTTACTGTTTTTACTGATCACAAACCAATCTGTTATGCATTTCACATCAGAAAAGATAAGTGCTCACCCCGCCAGTATCGTCATCTCGATTTTATATCACAGTTCACCACCGACATCCAACACATCTCTGGAAAAGATAACATAGTGGCTGATACGCTTTCAAGAGTGGAAGAATTAGCTCAGCCTATTAATCTAGTTACCTTAGCCAAAATGCAGGACGTGGATTCGGAACTGAAAGAAATTCTGAAAGGTGGGACATCACTTCGATTAGTTAAGGTACCAATACCTGGCACGAAGACAGACCTATATTGTGATGATGGAACTGGAAATCAAAGGCCTTACGTACCTCAAAACTTAAGGAAGCAAGTCTTTGACAGTTTACATTCGCTGAGCCATCCTGGGGTCAAAGCTACAACAAAGATGATAACAGAACGCTACGTTTGGCCAGGAGTAAAGAGAGACTGTCGTGAATGGTCGAAAACGTGTCATCCCTGCCAGCGTGCAAAAATAACACGTCATGTCTCCGCACCTTTAGGCACATACAAATTACCACCTGCCAGATTCCAATACGTCCATATAGACATCATTGGACCTTTACCTGTATCAGATGGATATCGCTATTGTCTTACAACAGTTGATAGATTTACCAGATGGCCTGAGGCAATACCCTTATCAGATATCACTGCTGAAACTGTTGCAAAAGCAGTTCTTAATGGCTGGATCTCGCGTTTTGGGTGCCCTGCTGAAATCATCACAGATCGAGGAAGACAATTCGAATGTTCCTTATTTAAACATCTATCCAATCTAATCGGATTTCAGCATAAGCGAACTACATCTTACCACCCAGCGTGCAACGGTATGGTAGAAAGGATGCACAGACATCTGAAAGCCGCTATTGTATGTCACAATAATCAACGATGGACAGAATCATTGCCATTAGTATTACTGGGTATGAGAAATGCATTGAAACAAGACCTTCAAGCATCACCCGCTGAGTTACTTTATGGTGAATCACTTAGGTTACCAGGAGAATTTCTGCATTCTAACAACAGCGAAAGTAGCACAGACATAACGGATTTCTTATCACGCTTACGGCTGATAATGAACAATATTCGTCCATCACCTGGGACACGTCACGGTAGTAAAAAAGTATTTATCTTTAAAGACTTACCAAATGCGACTCACGTTTATGTCAGGGATGACTCTGTAAAAGGTTCACTGCAACCAGCGTACTCCGGTCCCTTCAAAGTGCTGGATAGAGGAGACAAGATTTACAAATTACTCATGAAAGGCAAAGAACAAACGGTCTCAATAGATAGAATAAAACCTGCCTATATACCCTCTGACGCTTTAGCATGTCGAACACCACCTGCAAAGAAAAAAGAAGAGTATGAGAAAAGTTGTACACGCTCAGGACGCAGAGTTAAATTACCTGATCCTGATTATCGCCCATCATAGATGGTCTCTGGGGGGGAGTGATGTGGCGTCATTAATCTGAAAAAGAAAAATAAACAATCAAAAATTAATAATCTGTGACGATTAGACGTATGACGCTTGCGCCCGGCTTTTGTTTTGTTTTGGCGTTTTGCTTTGAATGGTATTTCTTCCTTCTCATGCTAATAACTTCTCTGCTATGCTTTGTGCTAAATTATAAACAGTATTATATATGTGAACTATTCTATTTGTGAACAATTGTATACGTGAATTATTGTAACTGTGAACTATAGCATATATGAAATATTTAATTGTGTGAACTCTTCTGCTTATAATAAACTTTTATAAAAAGTGATTGGTGAGTAATTTATTAAGAATCTCCCCACATCACTTCAGGCTCTTTTCTTCAAGGTCCCTAAGTCATATCGGTCCGGAAAAATCGCTGGTGGTAAACTATTCCACAAGGAAGTTGTGCGAGGAAGAAAACATCTTCTAAATCGCACAGTGGTGGACCGCCAATCATCCAGATGGTGTGGATGCTATCGGGAGTTCTGCCGCGATGTGCGTTCGTGAAATTTGGCGGCTGGGATTAATCCGAACAATTCCTCAGAGCACTCCCCATGTTAAATGCGAAAGAAAATGCTAAGAGATGCAACATCTCTTCGCAGTGCCAATGAGTCGAGCCGATCAGAAAGGACTCGGTCGTCGACGATTCGAGCCGCTCTGCGCTGGATGCGGTCAAGTGGAAGAAGCTGGCACTGGGGAGCCCCAGCCCAGAGATGGGAACAGTATTCCATGTGAGGCCGAACCTGCGCCTTGTAAAGTTGCAGGCGTTGAGCCGGCATGAAATACTGTCCCGCTCTGCTGAGCACGCCAAGCTTTTTAGAGGCCAATTTGGCCTTCTCTTCCAAGTGACCACGAAACTGCACGCTACTCGATATGTCGACGCCGAGGATTCCGATACTGGCTGAGGCAACAAGGGGAGTACCTACAACAATTGTACAACCAGTGCGTGATGCCAGCGATGTCTTATGAATCTGAGGCGTAGTCCTTCACTGCTGACCGTATGAGGACGCTCAAGGTCACTCAGCGAGCTATGGAGAGGGCTATGCTTGGGGTTTCTTTGCATGATAATCTTATGAGACTATCCACAGAAAAATCAGAGTAACCGACATAGCAAAACTGATTAGTAAGCTCACAAAAGTGAAATTTTGCAAAGAAAAATGTCACATTGTTAATATATGATAATTTGCATGATTTTGGTATATAATATATATCTCAATTTTTTATATTTTTCTTGAATGTTTAAAGAGAGAAGAAATTTATGCCATTATGAACCCAACTAAGTATCTATGTATCGACCAAATAATGTACAATCTTACTTAACCACCCACACCTCACGGTCACACTAGTACAATTTTCATAACATCACGCTATTTTCCCCAAGAGGCTGAGCGGAGCTTCGGATTATATTCCCAAGATACAATGATAAAACTTTTAGCGTAGGTAGGTATAGATATTTAGTTATGCTCCTGAAACGCCGCTAGACGCCCATGCATAAGACGCGTGGTTCCGTTTGTATCTTTAATATAATGGATTTATTCGTCGATGTTTTTTTCTGCCAAAATAGCACTTTTGATGATGATGTGCGCGGATTTGTGGAAGCAAACGAAAACTTTTGCTTGCAGAACAAAAATGGGCCTACAACATAATTACAAATCCGTGTCAAATGTCAAAGGTGGCCTGTTCTTCCTTGATGCGTCTGGCACCATTGAAAAAACGTTCCTCATTAATTTGCCATTGGCTCATATTCGATTTTAAAATGGAATTGCTTTGGCTCTTGCTTCATCAGGTATTGCAACTACATTATTAGATGCATTTCTCGGAAACTCCAATATGTAACATATCTAAGTTTTGTGGCATGGCTAACGTTCTATAAATATGCAAGGTGGAACGAATGCACCATGGCACATAAGAAATCACTTGAAGCGCTTGATCAAACTCTTTAAATACTTACGATCAAATACATAACAGTTCGGTGGCTCTTATTTTATTTTCTGGCAACTTTCGACAAACTCTTGCAGTGATACCTACATCAACACTAGCTGATAATCTAAATGCTTGTCTCAAAGGATCGTACCTTTGAAACATGTGCGGAAACACATTAAAGACGAATCCACATTTTCAAAACAGCAACTAAACATTAATGAAGGAAAAGTACCAGTTCATGCTACTACAAAATGTATTTCATATTCATTGAACTTTTGCGTCGTTGTGGCATCCATTGAATAACTCATTTTCCCACAAATTGTTACCAATTATCAAAATCATAAAGTACTTTTAGGAATATCCATAATTTGATTTATCCATTTCTAATCTAATTAATACAAAATGTAACTAATATTTCAGAAAGAAACATTAATCTCAATACTTTTGTAACAAATTAACTTCCCGTGCTATGAAATCTGTCAAATATGTGCCCTGGTGGAAAAAAAGTCCCTCATTACCGAAACGTTCTTTCACTTAAGTTAATTGTATTATGACTATAATCGTGCAAGCAATAAGATAACAAAGTTTTAGCGCATTCTGATGAACGGTAAGGCAGCCCATAAAATACGAAAAAACAAATATTAATTTTTGTATAAAAAGATTACTAACCATAATAAATAAATATTACTACATTTTAAATTCCTAAACATATATTTGTTTTAAGGGAAGCTTTCAGCACGTTTTATTTAAAATTCAAATATTGTTCTTTGACTAACGACATATGGATAAAAAAATCGGATTGTTCACCTCCAATATGGACAGAAATGAAGAAATAAAAAGAATTTAAAGAAAAAAATATTATTTAAAATTTTACAAAATCAGTGTAGAAAATTGCTTACAAAATATTCGAGATACAAGCCTCAGTTATTATAATTACCTTACCAACTAATTATACACATTATATCTTAAAAAAATACAAATATTATACTCCATAATTATTATGATGTCATATAATATATCATATTTTATAATAGTTTCTTTCTAGAGACTTCGTTGTAACACTTGTAAAGGAAATGTAAAAATATATTAATCTGAATATAAACATATTATAGTCGTTAGAAACTAAAATAATGGGTAGATTCTAAAAGGTTTATTGTTTGGACATACTTTGCGATATTGCATACCAATAATGTTTAGTAACTCCTCATCACATTGTTATATATAAGTATATAAAATAACTATTAATTCAAAATGTTGCACGGAAGTGTTATCAAAGTACGTTTTAAATCTTATAGGGCACTCCTCATCCTAGCAGCACAACGGTTCACAACTGGATATGGGTCTGTTCTATTTTTTTTTTGGAGTTTATGGCCTGGTATCTAGACCTTTAGGCCAAGTCTTAAGTATTTTTATTCGGTTTATTGTAATTTCCCCACTCCTTCATAGTATACTGCTTCACAATATGTTGATGCGTCACATTGTGCAGTTCTTGGGAGATTTTGGCGGCAACTTGATCCAGCAGACAGCTGATAGTTGGCGATGGTATCTAAAGGTGCCTATGCAAACAAACAGCTTATCTTGAGAATCCATCACCATCAGAGCACTTGTTTCACTGTTTCCACTAATAGTTCACATGCGTAGACACTTAATACACAAAATCGCAACACTTTTACATATCAAAGTCCACTTCAAACCATTATTTAAACAATAATACAGGAGCAGCAAACCGCCGCCGGTCAATTTCCCGCCAAAACTCCTGGGTCTGTTCTATAATAGAGATAATTGTTGCCATCTCCATAATTGACAGGCGCTTGGTGGATGCTAATTATTATTAATATAACATTATTTTTATTTCTACGCAGGGTAACACTTTTAAATTCTGCATCGGATGACGTCAGTAGCTTCAAGCGCCTTCCGTTTAGTATCTTTAAATATAATATTAGTAGGTTTTAAATATAAATTTGGTCCCAATTATCGTAAAATATTTTCAGCAGACAATTTATTATAGGTTTAGTTAATTCACTTAGTACCAAGGTTTATTAATAATATAATGCGTGTTGTTAAGAATTATGATATAAAACCTACTATGAATAATATCTTCTTATTTCAGCTAATATACATTCATAAGTAGATTCGTCTATTATGATGAACCTCTTAGCACGCCTGCTAAAATAATATATATCTCCAGTATAAATATCAAACCACAGTGCATGAATATGTAGATCGTGCTTCTCTAATCGTTTTTTTAACATTCCATACGAAGCTATATTTTGTAATTGTTGTAGAGTATTAACCTAAAAAAAACATTAACTTAATGTCAAATATATTTAAATAAGTTAATAAGAATTCAGTTTATTTAAATCTTTATTGAGCTTAAAATAAACGGAATTATTTTCTTCTACATTTACCGCCTTTTTGGTTTAATTGGTGTGTTTAAAGTTTCACAAGTTATATCTTTAAGTAATGCATATGGTATTTATACAATACCAAACGCTTAATGAAACTGCATAGGTAAGGAAGTTAACTAACCTGTGATAACTTATCTTCTATACAAAACTTATTTTCTGGGTCTATATACGCAACAAATTTTCGTTGCGGTGTTTCGCCAGTAAATAACATAGGCTTATCAAAGTCACCTTCCATTTTAAGAAATTTTTTTAAACTCGTTTGTCCATGGGTACACAGCCACGATTTTAGTGGAGAGATTCTTCTCTGTTCCTGAAAAATTTTGCAACATTTGTGTATTTAATTATTTTAATTAAAGTTTTATCGTAAGTTCACACTACGGTTAATGTTATAATAATACACATCTTGCGTGGGTAAGGGTGGAGGCGGATATTATGTCGCAGCCGCATCCACTAAAGCCCCATTGTATTTTACCTCCGTCGCTTAAAAGCAGTTTAATAAATTTTTAGTGGTCTAGCATTTAGATTTCTATTTTCGAGTGGGATTGGGCTTAATAGAATGAAAAGCGAAACCTATATAGTTGACCTGAGGCGGCGGCAAGGTTATACTCTCACCTTACAGTCGCAGCCAAAGTGGGATTACTGGGAAAGAAGAGTGACGAGACGTGTCACCGCGATCCATTCTACAGAAGATATTTCAAATAAATACATTTGCATTTTTCCGTACGTAAATAATGTTTTTAAAAATAAACGACAAGAGACAGACAGGCTGACTAACTGACTGAAGATTTATGTAAACCAAGAATAAAAAAGGGCCCAGTGCCGATCCTTGAGAGATACCCACTTTTATGTGACGTTCCGATGATATAAAACGTTGATAGCTATATTTTGTTCCCGGTTTGAGATTTATGACGATAAGATATTAAGTGCAGCATCACAAATACCGTAGCTATATTAACTTTAAAAAATCTGTTCTGATACTAGATTTATAACCGCATTCACTGTGGATCTTGCTTTTGCAAATTGCTTGACATTACAGATTTTATTTTTAATAAACAAGCGTCTGTTTTATAATTATTTAAAAAAAGTTTTGCTTAAGGCTGGCACCTCTGAAATAGGACGGTTATTTGTAAGATTTTCTCTACTGCTCAATTTAAAAACAAGGATAACCTTACTGTGCTTCATTGGGTTAGGAAACACAGCAGGGTCAACGCGAAAATTAAAATCATCGCTAACATTGACTTGAGGCTATATAAACTATAATTATATATCATTAGTCCAGTTTGAAAGACCCCCAAAGATTAATGGAGAAGTTCTTTCCATAGTATAATGTGGTAAATCTCGTCGTTATGGGTAAACGATTCATCTGAACGGTCTATAAAAAGTTTGAAATTGTTATAAAACAAAAGCTGTTTAAAAAGGTTATAATATTAAAGAACACATAGTCAATAATAGCCCCTGGAAATGAGGTGATCGTTACCATGCTGTTGCTAAATGGTATAAGCATAGGTGACTTTCAATAAGTACTTTCAATAAGACTTTCAATCTTGATATGTTATATTAAAAAAAGAAAGACCCGTCACTCTCCTTTCTCTCCGCGGCCGAAATAAGTTAGGTAGCGGACCATAGACCAGATCAAAGTTGCCACGCTTGCCAAGCGAGATTTTTAATTCTATCGAGTTGATATTAGGAAGATGCTGCTGCCCATCTCCTGTTTCATTTCCCAAGAGGCGACAGATCCTCTTACATAACCCTAGGGATACTAAACCATAGGTAATATACTATATAGGGCATACTACACGGCGGCGTGTAATTTAACGGAAATAACTAAGATGTATAGTGTGTAGACACTTCATCTTAGTGAATTTCTATAAAATATTTTTAGTAGCATGGTTTTCTTATTATTGATAACGTAAGATTCGTTTAAAAAAAATCTTATTCTAATATTATACTAATATGTTTTTTTTTTAATTATTTATAAATAAATAAAACAATAATAATAAAAAGTTATTACTAACAACACTAGATTCCTCTTTACTTTTAAGTTTATACAATAGATTCATTGCTTTGCAGTCACTATGCCCACATACTATAACATGTCTGATGTCATTTATGATGCAGCTGAGCTCTAATCCAGCCGGTTCACAGCTAGTCATTTCGTCAATAAAATGTTCAGAATGGGGTACTAAATTTCCCGCGTTACGCACTGAAATGCAATAAGATAATCAAAAAATATTTCATTAAAATCTTATGATATAAAAATATTTCAGCAATTTAGAATTTGATTTCAAGTGGTTTTAACAACCACGTGACTTCGCTAAGTTAAAACTATTTTGAAATGTTATCGAAATTAGTTGAGCTATTTAATCTATAACGTCGAGACTAGAATATTTGACTAGCCACATACATATACATTATACATAAAATGAAGGTATGCAACGTAAAAAGGCGCTCACATCATAATTTCAACATTCCCTAATTTATTGGGCATATCCATAATAAATCTACGTTGGAATTCACTGACGTGACACAATAGCTTACTTGATTTTGATCAATAGCATTGCTGAAATAACAATATGCAAGAGCTAATATAGTTAAATCACTAAAAATTTACAAACCAACAAACATGTCACCAACACATGTTTCTGTGAATCTTGTGGGAATCATTCTGCTGTCCATACATGTGTAAAAAATTGCTTTTGGCTGAAAATTGAAAAGAGATGTACAATATATATTCATTAATATAATATAATTGTTGATTTGTATAAGTTTATCTCTATGACCATGACGTCGTCTAGATAACTTTGCTGTACAAGGTATTCTGTGATAATTATGTTGAACATGATTTCGAGGTCACTTGAAACATACGTAGAGTTCTATCTTTCTTTTTTGTTAGTCTAAAATTAGGATCCCGTCGTAGTGATTTATATACTTTTTGGATTACATTATTCAAAAGTTCAAACAAAGAAGGGTAGAACGAGTGAATGCCTCTGTAATTTTGCAGTAAAACAAACCTAATGTCTTAGTAAATAATAGTGTAATACAACCGTCAGAATAGAGTATATTTTATTGGCAAAAACAGTAGCTCATTTTTGTTTCAGGACTACTAATAGGCAGTAATCGTGATGGCGATTATGAGACTAGAGCTAGAGTAGACAGAAAGTCATATTTCTGCTTAGCACGACTCATTTAAATGTACTCTTACAAATAAAACACCGAAGTAACTGGAGGTTTGGGTTGAATTTGCTTTTAAAATACTGTAAAATCTCATAATTAAAGTGGATAAATCATTCACTTTATTCATATATATGTATATATGCTTATCGCTGGGCATTCATTTTTCAAAGTTGCCTTAAGAAATAGTTACCTATCAGTTAATACACACACGCGCGTGTGTAACACACAATAAGCTACTTCTTTAATTGAACAAGTCTAAAATTCAAGAAGAATTCAAGAAAATATTTAGTTTTATCAGGATAGATATAATTAAAAATAAATCTGAGTATATATTACAAATGTGAGACAAATATTTTATTAAGTGATACCTAAAAGAGACGCGTTATTACGACGCTCATTTAGCTCGTTTTTAACACGCTTTTATTAGCTTGGTATGTATCTATGTAACGGAATTTTTCAATGTCATTTTCATCTAATCATTAATTTGAAACTTCGCACGCTTATCAAGACCGATTACAGTGCAATAACTTAAATAGTTTGTCCCATTATCCTTGCCGGGATCCTCTGGATTTGCGAATAATTCATAAAATAACTACGGTTTTTGCCAGGTCAATCTATTGTAAGCCACGTAAAAGAACTTAACGCACTAAAAACTAAAAAGTAGAAAATTTATGTCAGTCTCAGACTAGGCTGCAGGGTTTATGACATTTGCCAGCTTTAATTGACGAACCCTAACAACAACAATTGACCATTTGTCAATGTCAATAGTAAAATTTGTTTTTATTTTACAACTAAAAATTAAAATTAAATTTTGACTGCTTCGCAGACAACTTGTCTTTCAAAGAAGCAAATAACTAATGTGAACTTAGAATAATAGCCGTTACTTATATCATTATAAATACTTAGAATTAAGGTTAGTTAAGTGTTTATACTTACAACGGGATTATCTCTAACTTCCTGGAATTGTTTTACCATGATGGCTCGGTCTAGAACGCGATACCTCATAATGCCTCTTAATATTTTGTCCATTGTTTGTATATACTATATCACATTTAATGAATGAAGCTCTTTTACTTGTAACTTACTAACTTATTGAAAATACAACCTACGTTTGACATTACTGACCTTCATAGTAATAATATACCTACTATATACTACTATATATATAATACAGTAAGATTTATAGATTGCATATTGTGATTTTTAAGGTGGTTAAAATTATTGGGAAGTTTCTGCAATTTTTTGATTAGACATAGGAAATTTGTGGAATTATAAGAATGAACTTGTCTATGATAATCGTGAAAAACGATATCATTACTTTTTGTAACTTTTTAATTTTCTTCTCGATTTTTGTCTTTTAGATGAGTATTGAAAATCCTATTGGAGATGGAGCAAGGGATGAAAGAGGTACACGTCTACCTCCTAACCATCGTTTCTTAGAACCTGAAAAGGCAGTTAAAACCATCACAGACATGACAATATGGGAGAAATCTGAAGCATATATGGAATATACTGGCTTCATTGCTACTCTCAATGAGGCAATCAAAGGGAAGCCACTGTCGGTAGACTATAAGATATCAAAAAATGTTACAAAAATTATGGACATGCTGGAAAAAGTTGATAAACTGATCAGTGATTTCCCACCAATTGAACAACCACAAAGATTTGGAAATTCTGCTTTTAGAGACTGGCTTCACAAAATTAAAACTAATTCCACGCATTACCTTCAAGACGCATTAGATCAAAATCTTCATTTAGCCATACCAGAAATAAAAGCGTACCTTGAAGAAAGCTTTGGTAACGCTACACGAATTGATTATGGGACAGGACATGAGATGTCGTTTATCATGTTTTTATGTTGCCTGTACAAAATAGGTTGTCTTGTTCAAGAGGATAATGTTGCAACAGTATTTATGATATTCAATAAATATCTTAACATTGCTCGGAAGCTTCAGACGACATACAGGATGGAGCCAGCAGGAAGCCATGGTGTCTGGAGTCTAGATGATTACCAATTTGTGCCATTTATATGGGGAAGTTCACAACTTATAGATCAACCAAAAATATACCCTCCTTCAAAGTTTTTAGAAGATGAAGTAATAGATAAATATTCAGATGAATATATGTTTTTATCATGCATTAAATATATAAAAGAAGTTAAAACAGGCCCATTTGCTGAGCACTCTAATCAGTTGTGGAGTATCAGTGCTGTTGGATCTTGGACAAAAATAAATCAAGGTCTTATTAAGATGTATAAAAAGGAAATTCTTGCAAAATTCCCTGTAGTACAACATATATTATTTGGATCCCTTCTTCCAATACGTAGATTTCAAATGCATAGTTAAATTTCTCATTTATAACTTGCTTATATTTTTCCTTAATCAGTGTTACTAACAGTCCATTTAAACTAAGATTGAAATAAAATAAAATTGAATTTTATATGAAGTTTTACACTTATAAAAACCAGTATTAATTTGATATAATTGTTTAATATGCTGATTTAAAGGTGATATATTGTTGTTTAAATTTGATAGTAGACTGAGTTACTTCATGTACAGTGACGGTTCTGAGGAAAGAATTAAGAATAAGGTTTCATTAAAATTAAGTCAAAATTTGCTTTAAGAGCAAAATCCTATATTATGCTCGCTTAGATTGTTGTTTGTTTACCATATTTAAGGCAGTGTTTAATATTTTTTTTAACAATAGGATTAAATTATAAAATATTATGTGGGCTCTTATTTGTGCAACCTTACCACATTTAAGATTAAAAATATTTTTAATACCAATAAATACTGTTAATAAATAAATTTAATATTAAATCTTTTAAAGAATTCATCATTCATATACAGCCTATCAAGTCCATTGCTCAACAAATACTGTAATTGTTGATTGCTTGATTTTTGCCAATGTTACCACGATTGGCAGGGGGGTTAGTAACCGCAGTGTATTTTCTAGTTCTTTTATAAGAAGTCTACTGCCCAATTCCTAGCTTTCCTTTCTGCTGTCTCTTACGACAACCACCAAACAATATGGTGGTATGTCAAAAGTTACTGTGCTATACTAAACTTTAGTACAGTTACTGCACTATAATGTTGTACTTACCATATAAGGCAAGGAGTTATAGGGATAAGTGACAAGGAATATTTTTCGTACAAGTAACAATATAGTACAATTTGTTTCAAAATATAATTTATTGCTCATCATGACTTGCAAAAAAATGATATTATATGTGTTTGATGAGGATGATATTAATTTAAATATAATAGATACTATTACAGACGTGTATTTTTGTGGTGACAGCATTCATATTTCTCATAGTCAATTTCAAGCATAAACTGCTTTAGGAAAGTACATTCTGTTGTCAAGAACTGCAACCACTTCAACTCCTATACATCCCTTAAGGATGCTCTAGGTAGGTGTCAATTCAAGATTCAATGTAAAATAAATAATTTGAATAGTAAGGAAGTTACTGTTCAATTATTTTAACAATCTTAAAAATAAGTACTGCACTAGAAATTTTTTCTTTCATCGTGGTAGCCATTTACATAATATATACATTGCACAAGGAAAAACATCCAGACCCGAAACAATTATTTGTAAGCTATACAAATACTTGTTCCGTGCGGGATTCGAACCCGCAGTCCTCAGTGCCGGAACTTATGCCAAACCACTGCGTAACGAAGCCGTAATAAATAATTTATGCAACATTCCTTACTAGTAATCTAAACCTTAATGCTCATTAACTTTGTGTAACATTTCCAGTTATGCTGAGGTCATTCTTTTTAGGTTTATTGAAGTGGTTGTTATAAAGAGAGTAGGCCATGCCTACTGTAATGGCGCCCACGGCGATGCCTTGCGAGATGACACGAAACTGCATTAGGTACACGCTCGTGCTCATCTTCCCACGGTTTTTGAACGAGTAAACGCCATATCCCACTGCAGCTGCTAATCCGGCCAATCCTGTAAATTAAAAAAATTGTGGGTGTTGATAAAACAATTATTCCAAAAAACTTCAAGTTTGAATGTTCGAATATTTTAACACTAGCTATACCCCGCGACTTCGTCCGCGTGGAATTTATTACTATCCCCCCGGCCACACACTCGTCGAGTGGCATGAGAAGTGGCGAGGAAAGGAGGCAGAGACGTAGTGTGGCCACAATACTCGTCATGCCGCACGTCATGCTCCTCGCCATGCCCGTCGCTCCCTGTACTGTCGATGTTTTGGGCGCAAGTCAAAGGACTAGCAATATTTCGCGAGTGAATTAAATATTTTCGAGAAGAATCGAGCACTGGTTACGGAAGCGTCGTTCTGTTGCGATGAATAGATGTTAGCCACAATATCTGTTGCCAAAGACGACGACGTATATATTTTTTATGACATTGATATAATTAGCTATACTAAATATGCATATAGCACGCACGCTGTTGCAGTTTCAACATCTATTGTGTTGCAAATGCAAGCGACCTAGTGAGGAGCGTCGCGATTAATTGCGCGAGTAGAACAGAGTGTGGGCAGAGAGGGCAACATCGCGGCAGCATCTGTCTAGCCATTTCGGAGATTAGCCGGAACAAACAGACACACCGATAAACATTTTAAAAGTTGTTTTTTTTTATATGTACCATATATACTTTCATATGCATTTAGGAAAAGCTGTTATTTTGACATTACTAACAGACACTTCAATTTTATTTTTTAGTATACATAACGATCGCGTAGGTATTAAGTAGTTTTTTTATAAAATAAGAGTAACAAACGAGCACACAGTCTTACACCTAATGGTAAGTGAATGCAGTGATCCATCGACATCTTCATCTCATCCTCGATCAAGAATCAAAATGCAGATGCAAGATGGAATGCCTTGTTTCCTGTTAAAAGGGTCCCCGGTTCTTTGCATTAACGTATGAAACACAGCAGCATTAAGCTGCTATTTTATGCTGTATTCTGTAAAACGTAGTCCTTCCCCGGTCGAGCTGTACAACGATAATACCGTGGTACAACCATAATATAGCTGCAACATGGTTCTACTACGTTTGCACTTACAAGTTTGCAGCGTCGTTGCTCGATGTTTCAATCCTAGTAAATGCCTATATAAATAAAAACCAACTTGATTGTAGGGTCTAAACGTATTGTGGCAGTTTGCTCTATGTGTTTCGTATGTATCCTGTTGTCAATAATCATACTGGCTCTGCCTCCCCGATCCTGCAAACTGATACGCACTATATGCTGCCAAAAACAATCGCATAATTTTGAAACAGAACTGTTATTTGGCGGCAGAGATGTCTATTTCCCTGGGTGCCCAGTGCCAGATAGAATGAGAGCCATACGACCTAGTAAGCTGTGAGAGTATTCTAATCGTAGGTACTTGAGACTCTAAAAGAAACCTATTGAAGCTATGTTTTTAAAATTGTGATTAACTCGATGACGTAAAATACATAATTATGTTGTATTTAATACAAAAATATGTTTAAAAAAAGTTCCGCTGGGTTTCTTGCTGGTTCTTCCCAGGACAGAGGTATTTTCGGAACCAGTGGTAAATAAAAAATTGACTTTCAATAAGTACTAAGTAATAATATATCGTCAGTGAACTGGCAATCGGTCCTATCTGAAAAATTAGCCTTTTACTTTTTTAATGTTAAATTGTTATATCTTATGTCCGGAACATCGTTCAAAATCGTAATGGCGCCTATTGCGAATATTACCGCCAAAATTAGCTTCTTTCAACTGGTCCTTTCTCAGCCGCCATTGTTACTAGAAGCATTATGTACTATCTGAGCATTTTTGTACTGGTTGGGACACGCTACGAGTTCGTTGCGCATTTTATATCGTTTTTTGTATGGAAAGTGCGATTTTTTTTAAAAAACTACAGTTTTATTAAGTGGCAATTATATTTAGGTAAGTTATTCATATAAATTTTTCATATTTCATCATTCATGTTTATATTTATTAACAAAAATGTGAATGCTTCCACATAGGACTTTTTGTGTATTTATTTTCGATTCACAGTCAAGTACATTGTTTAGCATCCTCATAGAGATAGAATATTTTGCATCTTGTTCCATACGTTATAATTTGGCTATTTTGTAATGTTTGCTGTTTTTGTTTCAGTTTCAGTTTGGAAAAATGAATAGAGGAAAGAGATTAGTTAACTTGGTTATTAAACAAAATAATGAAGAACCAACAAATAATTCACATAAAGAGGTAACTTTTATCTGTAAACTTATCTCTTGAAACTATTTAAAGTGCTAACTTTACCTTATTTTGCACGCGTCACAATGCTAGTTTTAAACATTTAAATAACAATTATAGTCATATTTTTGTATGTTTGTTACGCGATAATTTCACCAACTAAAAATTGATTTTGATGATTCTATTTTTGTTAGGTAGATCACATTTCAGAGCCATGGTAGCTCAGATGGTTAGCGCTCGCTGTAACTTTCACAGTACGCGAGTTTGGTTACCTTGGTTTGATCCCCGCCGGCACTAATGAAATTGTTTATTGCAATTTTAAGTGCTGATTTACCACGTGCTCGGCGGTGAAGGAAAACATCGTGAGGAAACCTGCATGTCTGAGAAATAAAAAATTATCTCGAAGATATGTGAAGTTCGCCCACACGTATATTGGGGCAGCGCGGCGAACATTTTCTTGCCCTAAAACCCTTTCAGGAATGAGAGAAGGCCTGTGCCCAGCAGTGGGACGTATATAGGTTGCAACTTTTAGATCACATTTCAGATCGATTGATATTTAACATTAATTATTAGTTGTTTTAATTTGAAGTCGGTTTTTTGAAATTCTATTTCGATACAATTATTCTGCTTGTTTGATTTTCTGTTTGCTACAAATGCACGTGTTTTTGCAGAATCAGCCGAAAAAAACAAGAGTACCTATTACATTGATAGTTTTAAATGAAGATAACTGTCATATTGAAAAAAATACTGATTTTGATAAACCTCCAACTGCAGAAACTCTCACGGATACAAGTAATTTTATACAACTCGAAGATCTGATTTCAAATCCCATAACACAAAATAACATTCAATTAGAATCAAATATTCTTTCCCCTCAATGGCCCTTGCCCTTGATGCCCTTGGAACCAATATGTTATGATTATCCCAATCATAACAATAATTTATTTTATCAAGATCTAATTTCTCCAAATATAAATTCTACTAGAACAGATGATGACTGTACAACTTACTTTTCCACAACTGCTACTCATGCTTCTCCTGCAACAGCATCCTCTGCTCACTTTCCTGTTGTGTCACCAATAGTACCTACTGAAATAGTTTTAAAGACCACTGACGCCACGGAGAGAGTTTCACCTGAGCCTACATTAAATCCAGAAA